TTGGATCATTTGCCTGGTTAAAACAGCAACTTGGTTAGAATGAAGATGTTCCAATGTGACTGTTCGGTGGTTTAGGATAGTATCTTTGTTTAATGCCAGCTGACTTTTCTGTTTCTCTTTCTTACGTATTTAGTCTGTTCACAGTTTTGCAGAAATTTACCAAAGTAGCAGGGGGAGGGGGCTAGTATCCAAGTGGTAGCTTCACAGCAGGTGCTGGATCAAACAGGTCTTGTTCTTGCCCTCTTGGGAGGCCTATATGGATCACAGGATTCCTAATACTGCCCTTCAGATGACCTGCAGTTAAACTGCGGAAGATATGCTCAGTTTCTTTCCATGGATAAACAAAGGCTACATGAGATATTTGTAGAAGTATGAATAGGGAGTGATTTGTTTTTTCTATATGTGCAGCTTGCCTACGGAGTTGATTGAAAATGGCATGAAGTAAATTTGTGCCTAACAGATACTTATACAAGCATTTTTATTTTAAACAGAAAATGTCAACATTTTGACTTTGATCTTCACCCGAACATACTGGTTTCAGCTGGCTAAGGAAGGGAAAAATAAGGCGAGATACAGAGTAAGTTTTACAAGCTGAAAAATTCACAGTCCTAATAAAATACGGTTTGAGAAAAATCTTCAGCAAGCTTCAAAGACTAAGATTGGACACACACACACACACACACACAACCCACCCCACCCACTCTGTAGACTTTGGATCTCATCCACTAGCTTCAATCTATAAGCTGGAATCTTAAACTGAAGAGTATAGCCAAATCATATTAATGAAATGTTATAGCCATTGTAGCCCAGCAGAACCACCTTACACTCAAATTCCATTTCATTCACAAACACACCTGTGTGGCCTTGGGCAAGTCACAAGATCTCCAACTCAGTTCCACACTTGAAAAATTGTTTTTAAAATAAAAATAAAAATGATGTATGGGTTAATGGAACTATTCCAAAAGTCCTTGCTGATAATAATGATGATGATGATGATAATAATAATAATAATAATAATAATAATAATAATAATAATATGCTGCCCATTTGACTGGGTTGCCCCAGCCATTCTGGGCATCTCCCAACAAAATATTTAAAATAAAACACCAGACATTAAAAACTTCCTTATACAGAGCTGCCTTCAGATGTCTTCTAAAAGTCAAATAGCTGTTTATTTCCTTGACATCTGATGGGAGGGTGTTCCACAGGGCGGGCGCCACTACCAAAGAAGGTTTATTCAGAATCTTTTTGTATTATTTTTCCATTGGTTCCATCTGTACAGCAACCTGAACACCAATCCACTATGCTGGATGGGATTTGGAAGAGGTGGAGATGTTTTCCAGTCTGCACTGGCCTCCACTGGGGGGCAGGTTCTGCTGCTGTAGTGGTCCGTGTTCCACTAGCTGACAGTGTGCATTGGCAGAATCTACCACAGGCAGCATCCTGTGGTATATTATCCCTGTCGGTGGTATATTATCCTAGGTTTACTGAATTGATGAATTGTTTCCCACAATGTGAATTTGCGAAGAGATTAAGAACAGGAATAAAATACAATAATTAAAAAATTATGCACATTAAAAACACAGGGAGGAATTCAACATAGCGCTAGTGAGTGGTTCAATAAAGCATTTCAATGTGCTATATGGAATGATCTCCCCTCTCTTCTCTCCATGCACTATTCTGGGGTTTCTGCTGACTTCCTGAACCAATGAGGGAATATGCAGTGGGAGGAGGAGGAGTGAAAAACCCTGTTGTGCTAGTGGAAGACCTTTCACTGCCTTCTGCTGGTGGAACTTATCAGTTGAATTCAACTAACTTGTACTTGGAGTTGGCCCATTGAAATTAATAGACCTAAGTTAAGTACTCATTAATTTCAATAAGTAAAAGTTAGTTTAATATAACCCATAGGGTAAAAACATCCAATCAGTGGTGCAGCCAAAATGCCCTGGAATTCAGAAATGCACTGAAATGATGACTAAGTTGGTACCTGGTAGGTAGCTGGCATAAAACTCTGGAAGAGGGCATTTCAAAGATGGAAAGGGAGTGGGTAGGCAGGGGAAACCCTGTCAGTTTCGGTTCTCTTAAGTCTCTCATTTTTCAAATCCTAAATTTAGTTCTCCACATTTCCGCAGCAATTTCCATCTAAGAAAAAAAAATCTCATTAAAATTCATCAGCATTTGGGCATGGATGTCTCCCAATAAAAACATGTGTTTTTGCAATTTTGCCAAATCAGCACATTTTTGGGCAAGCCATTTCCCCACATGTAATGCATTTTTGTATGTTGTATTCACCAACACATGTGGTGTTTTACACATTTCCCCCGAATATATGCATTTTTGTACATACTGTTTGGTTGGAGGACAGCACCATATAATTCAGAGAAGAGCTAATCTTGAAAGATAGCTGTGTTTCAGTTTGCGTATTGGTTCAATAAGGGCAATTTGGGTAGTTTCTCATTAAAATGCAGATTAAATCCAACTTTCCTCCATCCCTAGGATCTGCTGGAGCCTATGCCAGCCCAGAAAGCAGGTCCATTTCCTGCACCAGCCCTAGTAAAGCAAATTGCTTTTCCTGGATGGCATGACTAGCCAAGCTTAGGACTGCATTGTTTAATTACCATCCTATTATTCCTAAAGTTTTAGTTCTCATGAATCATCTGCATAAGGCAAAAGGGCTTGACACTCAGAAGTCGAACAGAACATACAGGGTGTGATTCTGTTCCCATTGAAGCCAATAGCAGAGCCAATAGCCTGGTGCCAGAGCAGCAGGAGTGCCAAGAAACTGGACAAATAGTTAAAATGCAGGAGGTTGACCAGACCAAACCAAGGTATGCTAGAGAAGCAGGCGGAAATTAACATTCAGAGAAGAGACCCTAATTCCTGTAACAAATATTTTAAGAAGGTGGAAAAGATGGTGCATTAATCCATTTTCATGATAAAAAATTTGTATGAGGAATTAGCCGTAAGGCCACAGTGAGCCATCATTATGAAAATGAGAAGGACTCCGTTTTCTCTGCTCATTTGCAGCGTGTATTTTGGATTTTTGCCAGTTATATATTTAAAGTGGTGTTAGATATGATTTTTTTTTCATTCCAAGCCTTTAGCTCTTCATTCTGTAGGTTCCTTTTTTGTACGAGACAATTATAGACTAACAGTAGAATTGTAAGGATCGCAGAATCATAGATGTTTACCCATAAGTATGTACACTGATACTTTCCCCCTAAGGGTTACATTTAACTCAATTTACTGGATCCAAATTACAGCACAATCCAAACCCAACATCTGCAGGGATGAGAGAGTTGGATATAATAGACACTGGGGCTTTCCTGGTTGAGCCAGTGCTGAGCCTGGGCTACACCAGCCAAACTCAGCTAAGCATAGGTCCCCCCAAAAGTGTGTGGCAGGAGTGGGACAGGGCAAGGATCCCTTTCAGCTTGGTCACATGACCTAGCAAGCAACCTGGCTAATGTGTGGTGGTTAACAGGAAGGCAGTCCCATTCACCTGGTAAAATGTTCTGCAAAGGATGGACCAGTTCTGAATCAGCTTGCTGGCGGGATCCAATTCCCCACCCTTGGCTTAGATGAACGCTTGCATGCAAGATGTTCAAGACTATAACAGCATATAGTTGCAAATGGTGTTTAACAGTCTTCCCCAGCCTGCTGCTCTCCAGATGTTTTGGACTACAACTCCAGAGAACACGTCTAGGTATTATGAGAACCATAGAGCTGTTACAGGCCCAAGTTAATCAAAATGCATTCAAAGGGTGGTATCTAGTTAAAACCCCATCTGCACTATACATTTAAAGCAATATCAATTTGGCTTTGCCCAAAGAATCCTGGGAATTGTGGTTTGTTAAGGGTGCAGAGATACTCCTGTTCTCCTCAAAGGGCTACAATTTCAAGAGTTCATTGGGAAGGATTGACTGTTAAAACGTTATGTAAATTGGATTTGTGAGGGGAATACAGGGGTCTCTTGAAGACTCTCAGCACTTTTAACAAACCGCAGTTCCTAGAAGCAAGCCCCATGTGGAAATAATGGATTAGCAAGCTTTCATAAACTGAAACTTTTTTCCATTGAAATGATGGAATTATTTAGATGATTCTAATTCAGTATAAAGAAGAGAAATATTTTCATTGTTTAATTCCCTCTCCATATGCCACAGTGTTACTAGATATATATTTGCCTCTGCAGTAACGATTGCATTGAAATCACAAAGTAATCTTCCGAAAGCTACACAAATAACTCAGTGCTGCTGTAATAAACATTACAAGCACCTTGCTAGCCATCTGCAGGCAAACTTTCAAAGGGAAAATCACGTCATCAGATTATCTGACCCATACAGTGTCTTGCAGATGTTTGGGGATAGTATTTGGGACATAGCTCATTTCAGGCTCTATATAGTAGAAACAAAATGTGCATTTACACAGTTAAAAGAGTAACTGAATTCCCATAAGGATCTTCAAAAGCTTTTTTTGTTTGCCCAAGCACCATATTCTGCTACTTTGGCAAAGAGGTATTCACAATGACCTGTTAATAGGAAAGGACTCATACTTTTACCAGATGGGTTCCAGCCCAGACAGCAGTGTCATCTGCCTTTATTTTAATAGCTCCACCTTTTTCTTCTTCTTTTTCTTAAAGTGATAAATGAGGTGAACATGACCTGGCCTTAGAATGTCATGGTTTAAACCATTTCCTTTCATCTTGCTTGGTGTCTTGTTGAGGAAGCTTGCTAGGTAGAATCCGTTCAGCTGCAAACTTATGTATCAAAACAGTTCATAGAAGTCAAGCAGTTTTGCCAATGTGCCAGCCAGGTTTTGGTATATAAACCAACAGGCCTCAGACAATAGTTTTCCTTCACTTGCATTGATCGTTTTTTGCCCTGTATGCAACTCTTTACATGCCTTGTTTTGAGACATGACACTGTTTCCAAAGCAAATAAACTGAGACACAGTACATAAATACCAGATCCATCCTTTGATTTTACATCCTTTACATCTTCCTATAGGCATGTTAGGTTTAAATGCCCATGAGAAGTAGAGCTAGACAAACATCGATCAGCAAAATGCAAAATCCTGCTGCAAATGAGAGAAACATATGTTACCCAACTGAATTACAATTATGGATGTAAGATCAGATGCTACCATCCACAGAAGACTTCTTGTAGGAGCCTTTGATAGGCAGTCGGAGCTGTGTGGCCACTTTTCCATGATGTTGTTTGTTTGCTTCTTATGTACTGAAGTTCTGAACCACCCTTCATTAATTCATATCCCAGAGCAGTTTAAAACAAATTCATTAAAAAAATTTACATTCAATACAACCAAGAGAAAAACATAGTTAAAAATCAAAACCATAACAAACATAGCAGACGTGTCTCAACAATTATAGTTGGCCTTACAATATCTAATTTCCCCAAAGACCTGTATTTTTTCGTAGCAACAAAAACCAGATGATGACAGTATTGCATGCCGTCATTCCTCCAAGGGGAGGAAATAACCACAGATGAGGTGCCACTATGGAGAAGGCCCTATTCCATGTCACCATGTAATAGGCAGAACAGCCGAAAGGGCTTTCCTTGCCTGGACAAGATGAAAAAGGGGAGGAGGGCATCTTCCAAGTTCATAGGAACATAAACTTATATTGACTCATACAATTGGCCCATCTAGGTCAGTATTGTCTATTCCAGTTGGCAAAGACTATCCAGGGGTTCAGACTGAGGATATTCCCAATCTTACCTGGAGATTGAACTTGGAGTCCTGCAGGAAAGTCACCTGTGAAACAGCACTGCACAAGGATGTCTAGTTTCCCAGTAGGGGTTCTATCTATGGAAGGGTGAGGGGCTGAGCCCTCAAAAATTTCAAGGAGGGGGTCAGGCCCCCTCAATATTCCATGGAGAATACTTGTACAGTGGTACCTCGGGTTAAGTACTTACTTCGTTCCGGAGGTCCGTTGTTAACCTGAAACTATTCTTAACCTGAAGCACCACTTTAGCTAATGGGGCCGCCTGCTGCCGCCGCGCCGCCAGAGCACAATTTCTGTTCTCATCCTGAAGCAAAGTTCTTAACCTGAAGCACTATTCCTGGGGTAGCGGAGTCTGTAACATGAAGCGTATGTAACCTGAAGCATATGTAACCTGAGGTACCACTGTCCATGCCATACGACATGTTCATGCCACACATGAGTCCGTGTGACATGTCAGCACAGTGTGCATCATGTGAGAGTGATGTCAGCACATCACATGGCACCAGCCCCCTCAATTGTGGGGGGGGGGGCAAGCTGGTGTGCCTGTTCTCCAGGTAGTCCCAGAGTAGGTTAGCTTGATTTTCCCACCCCACTCCACCCCAGATTGAAGCCACAGGGAGGATAAGAGATGGTCAGCAACCTTTTTCAGCTGTGAGCTGGTCCACCATCCCTCAGACCATGTGGTGGGCCGGACTATATTTTGGAAGAAAAAATGAGCAAATTCCTATGCCCCACAAATAACCCAGAGATGCATTTTAAATAAAAGCACACATTCTACTCATGTAAAAACACCAGGCAGCCCCACAAATAACCCAGAGATGCATTTTAAATAAAAGCACGCATTCTACTCATGTAAAAAATCACTGATTCCTGGACCGTCTGTGGGCTGGATTGAGAAGGTAATTGGCCCACATCCAGCCCAGGGGCCTTAGGTTGCCTACCCCTAGATAAGAGGTTCTGTGCACAGCCCCAGTGAAAATGGGAAGATGCCTTCCTTTTGAGATTATTCATTTTCACTTTCAGTATATTAAACTCTGTTTTGAAGATATCGTATCAGTGATGAAATTATGGTGGATAGGTTGTGAGTAGCTCAGTGGAATCCATGCACCTCTATTCCTGACTCCAGTAGTTGTTCATGTGGTGGGGCAGAGTTACCCTCCCAACACCAGCACCACTCCTGCTTACTTAGATGGGGGCGGGTGGAGCAGGGGAAGCGGCGAGGTCAACATTGCATGGACACACCAAAGGGAGTACCAAAGGGATGGTTGGTGGCAAGACCACTGGTGCAACAGTGTGGCCCCAATTTTGCCACCACCCCACTCCTGAGCCCGGTACTGCGTGACTTCCCTTAGTTTCAATCCAGTCAAGCTACATGTAGTCATCAAAAACAGAAGCTACTGGGAGAGGGATCAAAAAGATAACAAAGCTCGACTCTGTAACTCAAGCACCACAGTTATGATCTTTTTGCTGGAAACTGGAGCCATAATCTGAAACAAACCATGCTCTTCTCTTTTCCTGATAATGCTCAGTTCTTATAAACTGCATAAAACCATGAGGATTCTTCTCCTTCTAATTGTGTAACTATGACATATAGTTCCATTTTAAATTTAATTCTGTAGGATTTTTTTTTTAAAAAAAGAATGCAAGTTTTTTTTAGTACCACAAAAACTTTGAAAATGTGTTCTGTGCCTGCCCCTCATTCATAGTCTTTTATAACGCTACTAATGTATTGAAATTTGGAATTGGTTTTGAAAGATTATAGCACACTGCAGTTTTAGAGGCGAGAATGTAAACAAGAAAAAAGGGAGCTGAACCTTTAAATGTTAATACTTTGGGAAGCTGAAGAGCCAAATGTGTGTCTGAGGGAAAAAGCTCCATCACCTAAATGAATTGTTTCAAAAAGGAACTGGTAGGTGGGTATTAGGGTTGAATAATCTAAGTTTTATTCTAATGTGCACTGGGTTCTATCAGGTTTCATACACACACACACACACACACACACACACAAAGACAGGCAAAAAGGCATAAACAACAACAACAACAAAAGCCTGTCTTGGGAAATTAATATTGCAGTAATATCCAGGTTCTGGAAAGGGAACTCTGTCGCTTTTAGAGTAAACACCAAAAACAGATGCCACAATCTCATAAAATAAACATGCAGTGAAAGGGTAACACAGACATTAACAGCAAACTGATTCAGTAGCCAATACAGTATGATGAGAAAGGCACACACAGTATGGTGTGAGGCAAAATAGAAGCCATTAGCCATATGGTACAGTGTGGAGATGGCCTCCGTGACGAGAAACAGTTGTATGCTGTGTGGTTTATAAAATAATTATGCCGTGGCAAGCAACATTTTTATAATTATTGGCAATTTTAAAAATATTTTTCTTACGCTGGAAGCATTTACCAAATTGAAGGATGGAGGCAGCAGCTTCATTTGCTGTATATTGTGCTTTTAGGCTATGCAGGGAGCTGCCATTGCAAAAACAGCAGCTAATTTACATGCGATTATGGCAGACTTTATATGATTCTTTTTTTAAAAAAAGAAGAAGCAGCAAGGGATGTACAAAATATAGGCAGAGAGAAATACTTGGATGAATATTACTTGCCACCTGTCAAAAAAGAGAAAAGCTTCCAATTTGTATTTTCCTCCTTTTCTTCTTTCCTTTGTAAGTATGTGGGGGGAAAGGGAATGTGGAGCTCTGAGGTTGTCATTGGCAACCACAAAATCTGTTTTGAAAGGGGGAGAACCTGAGGACAGTTAAGGGTGCCTGAAACATCTGAGGCAAGAACTGGTGACCTCCATCTCTGTTCAATTTTTGGAATAAGCTGTGCCATCAAGGGTTTTGTCCACTTATACAAGGAAGACTGCCAGTAATGCCTGGGCTACTGTATTATTTTTTTCTAGATTGCTTTTAAGAAGGCCCACCCAGTGGCCAGCATCCTATTCTCAGAGTGCCCAAATAGGAAGCTGATAAGCAGGAACTGAGAGCAGCAGCATTGTCCCCACATGTGCTTCCTAGCAACTGTTTCTGCAGGTGTCTGATAATGCCAACTGTCCATGGTGGTCCTGCGAAAATGTATATAGTCGTGGATGTATCACCCAGGGTGCTGCTCACAGACTGGCATTATTTTTGGGTGGGATTCAATCACATACTAGAAATCGTGTCCTCCCTAAAAGAGGGCACGTGTTGCGGTGAGACCTGGAGACTGACCTGGTTGTGGGTGGGTCTATTGGATAGCCACAACACCCGATTGGTAGGTCCCTCGTTGCTGGGTTTAATCTGGCCAATGGGGTGCAGTCTAAATGGATCGAGGGACCTATATAAACCCATGCACGGGTCGCAGAGCTTCCTCTTTTGGCTCGTGCATTGGAACACCCACTCACCCACCTCTCCCTAATTTTAGGGCATTTTGCCATCGTGTGTCGTCTGTCGTTGGGACAGGGGCACGGCAGGATTTTTCCCCACTTGGCTGATTGGCTGTGGCCATTTGGGTTTCTCCTGCAGCATAGCAATTCATCACAACTTGTAAGGTTGCAGATAGGCACTGGTTCAGGTAATAGGGATGGGAGAACGGTATCGCCATCCCTATGTGAAGGGTATTCCGTTAAAGGAATCCAGGGACTCAACTTGGTTTGGTCAACCCCCGAAAGGGGGTTGTGCCCATGCCTGAGTGCAGGGGAGCATCTGGGGAGTGAACAGAGTCTGTTCCCAGGCTTTTCACCTGCCTCAGGTGTTCACCCTTGGCTGACCTATGATAGAGCTCTGGGTCAGCGCTACCTGCAAGTGTGTAGGGAGCAAGTCGAACCAGAGCCTATGCAACCACTCACTTTTCTGTAGTCAATGAAGTTGTGGCCTAAATTCTGCCAAAAACCAAAACTAAAATTTGAGTCAAATGTGTCTTTATTTAGAGGGGAGGTCTCTGGGACTGAACACGCAAAAGGTTGGTTGCACAGCTTGTTCCTCCTAACAAGTCCTTTGGCTGATTAATATTCTCTGGCCTTTTAAACATGTCTGTGGGGGGGTATTGTTTTGTTTTTGTTTAAACTGTCTATTTTGTGCTTTTATCTTGTGAACCGCCCCGAGGTCTTTGGATGAAGGGCGGTATATAAATTTAATAAAAATAAAAATAAAAATAACTAAATATGTCTCCTCCTCCTTTAAATTTGTCCAAGTTGGTGGTCACCACTCGCTTCTGTGGGAACAAGGTCCCCCCCACTCCTCCTGCCTAAGTGGTACCTCCCTGATACTCCCCCCCCCTGCTGATATTAGGCTTGAAAGAAGTATTCTATTGTAGCAAATAACATAGTTTGTGATGTGTACTTGCTTGTGGCGTATGTGTGTATGGTTCCCATAACAATTTTCTAATTTGCAGAAGTAGCCCTGAGTCCAAAAAAATTCAGCCTTAGGTGGTGAATTCATGTATTTATCAATTCATTCTAGTAATAACAGGCTCAAACTATATGTAAATGAATCATCCATGTATATTTTGTTCATATGTCTGGCCTATTCACATATAAATGAGTGATGGGGTATATATTTTTTCCATGAAATGGAGTGTAAAGGTGACTAAGCAGTTCCCCACCCCTTTTATCTCTCTGTACTCTGGCTCACTTCCAATGTCAGACCTGGGCTGGGATAAATTTCCCGGAGGAAGAGAGTACAGTGGCTTAAGGCAGGGGGAAAGCATCTGTTTAAGAAATGGGTTGGAATTTGCCAAAAATGAAGTTTTGCATCAATTTTCTGGGCATGTTCTTTTCCAGATTGCTGGAGAATTTCAAACCCCCTGGATAATATTTTGCCATCCTCCAATATGAATATCAGATGCAACTTTGGGTCCAGGTTTCACTTATTGGTTAGGTCATTCAGCTGATATTGTGACTGATTAATTTGTGTCATGAGGTGACAGATTAACCAAAGTACTCAAGTGGCAAATATCAAAACAATAAAGTAATTTCATACTACAAAAACAGACCCCAGAACTATGGGAATTATTCTGTGACAGAGATGACTTCACACAGTAGGAAGAGCAGATGTTCTGGTGACTCAAACATCTGCTTTTTGATCTTCTGTGGGAGCTCACATATATCCTCCAGAGAGATGTGTGAGCTTTTGGTTATCCTGCAAAGACACTGTCAAGAGATCTGCATATGAGTACCTCGGGTTACAAACACCTCGGATTACAAACACTTCAGGTTACAGACTCCACTAACCCGGAAGTAGTACCTCGGGTTAAGAACTTTACCTCAGGATGAGAACAGAAATCACGCGCCAGTGGCATGGCGGTAGCAGGAGGCCCCATTAGCTAAAGTGGTACCGCAGGTTAAGAATGGTTTCAGGTTAAGAAAGGACCTCCAGAACGAATTAAGTTCGTAACCAGAGGCACCACTGTAGTTCTGCACACCAGCCAGTTTCCAATTCAAAATTGGAATAGTAATATTTTTCCCAGAGACTTTTTAGCTCTTCCTAAAAAACATTCCCCCTAAATGCTGACGTAAATGTTAGAGATCTTTCAAAGATACTATAATGTGCAAGGAGCTATCACCGGAAGTATGGTATGGTCACCCCTGCCTATGAACGTGAGTAAAAACAAGAAACAAAAATTCGGAGGTGAGAAGAGAGGACCAAATCTACTGGCAACTCCTGACTCTCTCTTGGTCCAGGAGCGCACCTTTCTTCTCATTCACCTAAACCCTACAGCTTCTCCTCTTTTCCCAAAAATAAAAACTTTGTATTATAGGTCTTACCAATAACCATTTCCTCTTCTTAATTCTTTCTCTCTTTTGCCAGTCTGGAGGGAGTGGAGAGGGTTAAAATATGAGTAAAGACATTTCTGGTTCCCAGCCATAGAAGCTGCAAGCTGTGTGGAGATAGATCAGAGGTGGATAAGCATTCAAATATATATCTGGACAAAGAAACAGAGCTATCCGTGTCAACTGAGATTTATTTATCTTATTTAGTTTCATACATTTCCTTTCATCACAGAGATCAGAAGTGGACAGACCACCACTTTGCACCTGTAGAAGTAGAGCAGTAGATGTGCTGTCTTCATCTTTGCAAGATACTTCGGTTTTCCGTATTGGGTTTTATCCATGGAAGGCAAATCAGTGGATTGGCCTTCCCCAACAGCAAATACCATGTGGATTCTTAAATCCAGAATGGAGATTGTATAGGAACAATAGCATAAGATAGGGGGCTGCTAAATAAGTCTATGTAAACAACTTATACCTTGCACCTGACCTGCACTGTATATATTTTTTCTAGTCTCGTAGATTGTGCTCACCCAAATAATCACTGCGGAATCCACTTTTAACACAGAGAGAAATATTACTTCCCCAATAATGACATGCATTATTCAAACAGTCTGTAGGTTTGTATTTGCTCATCAGTGGTGACAACATTACAAATGAAACAGTAAAAAAGCAGTATATTAGTACATTAAAGTAAAATGTTATGCTATGTATATCGCCAAAGTACTGCAGTGATATGTTGATCAATCTCCTTTTGCTGGAGCACAATGCAAAATGGGTTGTTTTTAACACATTCATTAATAAAGACTTAAAAAGGGGGGGGGGATTGGAAACTGTGTTAAAAATGCTACTAAACAGAAAACACAAAGCAATATCATACAGAGATGAGACACAATCTAAGACTTTTCTTTCAGGATTTAAAAAAGAAATTCTGATTGTTCATCGATGAAAGCAACTGGCATAGACTGCTGAACTGGTTATTTTATTTTATCCAATATTGCTTGCAAAGATACCACTTTCATTTTTGCCAGCATTTGTAGTGTAAATGAGGAGCAACCTATCGTAAAATGATGCTACTGAGATCAAAGGAAGCAATCCCTACCACTAAACTGAAATCATTCTGGGGAACTGTTTTTGATTATGGTTAATGATGTAATCAAGGTAGTAAACTGCCTAGAAGTTGTCGTTGTAGTGGGATTACAGTTTGCCATCATAGAGCACCTAATAATAAGAACAAAAAAGTATGGACTTATAAAAATAAGATATTAGTTAATGTTTACTTTAATGGCACACAAGATGAGATTGGGTTGATTAGAATGCTGATAGGAGCTTTTCCCAAAGGAAAATTACTGAAATTTTTGTACGGACGAAAATGCCAATAATATAGAGAGGGGGGAAAGACCACAAGAGTCATTTTTAACATCTTTGATTTCATTCTTTAAAGACCAATTATTTTTCTGTCCCCTGTGGGAAGGAAAAAAAAAACTTCTTTCTTAATGGCAGAATCATTCTGAGACTTCTCTGATTCATTTTATATTTAGTAGATTACAGTTTTAGAGTCATCAGTCAGAAGGAACCCAGCCAACTGACAGACCTGAAATCATGTCCTTTGATTGTAATTGACAGGAAAAGCATTTAAGGTAAAGGGGAAAAATATTTTATTCATCTTTGATTACACTGTGATGTGATTTGGTGACATAATACAGCTGTGAACTGAAGCAAGAAAGGCAATAATTCCTACTTCAGGTTTTTGACATGATGTAGCCCTTTAGTCTTCTTCAAGCCTAAGCCTCCAGCTACAATAGGCCCCTTGATGGAGTCTAGACAAATAGATATACAGACTGTTGCCATTTAAAAAGCAAACAGCTTTAAAAAAGCATTTCTCAAGGCTGTGTATTTCAGACCTAAATGGCGGCACAATTTCCCATCCCCAACCCCCAAAATTATACTCAGTTAGCTCCCGCCCTCCAGAAACAACTTATTGGGCTGAGCTCCTTCACTTTAATCGGGTCTTAAAAGTAATCAAGAAAATGGTATTTGTTGCCATATTAAAAATATTCCCTCAAGAGGCTTTAAACATCTTGCAACTAATTCATATGCAGGAGACATTATTTCCAGTATCATACTGCCCGGACGGCTATCATAGCTTTTCTCTTTCTTCCCTGCCTTAGTATCATTTTGATCTCAATAGGCCCATTTTCTATTAGTATAATAACTTTCAGGTGGCATTTTCTTCTCAATTGCCTATTCAGCATGTAGGATGGTGGTGAAGGGGGACGGTGACTTCAGCTTCCATCAGCCCCAGCCAGCATGGCCGGTGGTCAGTGGTAATGAGAGTTGTAGCCCAATAACATCTGGAGGGCTGTGGATAGCCTATTCCTGATGGAGAAACACAGGTAAATCATCAGCTGTGTGTGAAACCTGTGCTTTAGAAATACAGTATGAAAGGCGATTTTTTTCCAGTGAGTGACACAAGTTGAATGTAGATGTACCAGAGGTGAAAAATAGCTTAGTTAAATCAATTGCGAGACAGAGGTGAAATCTCCATTGGTTGTTAAGAAGTCAAACTAATGATCATCACCTTCAATAGCAATTTCTTAACTCACTGCATTGCTCTGGAGTTATTTGGGAAAGAGTCCCGATATAATAAGGGTCTTTTGTTTTGGGTAAGGAATGGATGGCTTCAGACAGGGCTGGATTTTTATTAAAATCTTAGTGCTGAACTTATCCACATGGAATTTTGTTTTCTTATTCCCTTCTCACTCCTTGATCTGTACAGGAAGTGACTTACATTTTTACCCATCTCACTAAAAATACAAACAATGCATGACTCTTTCATATGTATTATATGTACAATATACGTCTTCCTTTGTATGTTACTTTGCATATAATTACTAAGGGTTCTTTTTTTTTAATGACAATGCACAAAACACAAAACTGCCAATGCAAGAGGTTGTCCAATGCAAAGAAAACCCAACTGTATCTGAATCAAGCTACATTCTTTGTACAAATCCTTTTTAAATGGATTCCTTTCCCACCCTAGTTTGAGGATTAGTTCTTCAGGTAGAGCAGGTTTAAAGTCTCCAGTCTATTTCCCAAATATATTTATCCGAACACAAGAAATCAATTTATGAATGATTTGGACCCAGAACATTGTCTGGGAGAAGCTACATATATTTCCTATTGTCACTGTTCTTTCATATATTTTCTGGAGTGTGTTACCTATGCTTTTTGGTGCATGATGTCAAAAGTGCAGTATGAAGCATGTAGTATTTTTGATTATACCATTAGGTGATGGGAATTTACATGAAAGGGTTTTAAATAAATAATTGAAGCAACATAACAATACCAGGTGACTATTGCAATAGTAAAAAAAGTCCATGAACTTCCAATATTAAAGTACATAACAATCCATGGTGGGGTTTTGGGTTGGTGGAAGAAGGTAACTAAATTTCACCCCTTATTCATGATATACTAGGCATCCTAGGTGATGTGACGACATACCTAGGGTGGGAAAGAAGTTAGTTTGCTGGAAGGAATAAGTTAGCTGAGGGCCATTATTGCTGGCATTTCCCCTTTATTCCCTCATTTTTATTTTTTTTAAATGCCCATACACAACAGTATAAGGGATGTGGGTGGTGCTGCGGGTTAAACCACAGAGCCTTGGACTTGCCGATCAGAAGGTCGGCAGTTCGAATCCCCGCGATGGGGTGAGCTCCCGTTGCTCGGTCCCTGCTCCTGGCAACCTAGCAGTTCGAAAGCACGTCAAAAAGAAAGTAGATAAATAGGTACCGCCCCGGCAGGAAGGTAAACAGCGTTTCTGTGCGCTACTCTGGTTTGCCAGAAGTGGCTTAGTCATGCTGGCCACATGACCTGGAAGCTGTACACTGGCTTCTTCGGCCAATAAAGCAAGATGAGCGCCGCAACCCCAGATTCGGTCACGACTGGACCTAATGGTCAGGGGACCCTTTACCTTTACCTTTTACACAACAGTATAGCTAATAATCATGCATTTACCATACAAGAGGTCAAATGAAACAGCATTTGTTTGAAGACAATTCTCTTGCCAGTTAGGGTAGTCATTTGTTTCTAGGGGCACAATGCACCCACATGCTAGTGCTCAGATTATGGAGGGAAAGTTAGACAAAGACCTTAATGAAATCTACAAGTCTCCCATCTCAATTTCCTTGTCCCTCTTGTAATTCAAACACTGGAATGAATGGGAGCCGAAGAAGAATATCTCAGTGGGGAGAACTTGGTGGATTGTGCCCATAGTTGTAATAGTTATGAGTAAAGGCTTTATAAGATACTTTATAAGTGTGGGGCCTAATGCAGAATCTGTCTAGAGCAAGTACTCTGCAGGGTAGGGTGGAGGCTAGTCAGCATTTATCATTTAGCTTTGCTGTTCATGATAGATTTGCAGGAAATAAATGGCAACAATCCTTCATAGTATGCTATAAATGGATATCTAGCATTTATTTTTTATCATGACAAATTTCAGCTCTAGTACAACTGAACAAAATCATACACAATGAATCTTAAGCAGTGTGATCCAAAAGGGTCCATGGAGGGGGAATCCTATCCATGGACTACCCAATCCAAAGCTTTGCCAGACTCATACCAACAGGATAGAAGGGGTGGGTGGGTGGGTGAGAGAGAGGGGGGGAGAGTGTTGATATTTCTCTCTGCTTTTGTATCTGAGGGGGGTAATATTTTTTTGACCAGAGTTGTATTTTCCATGCCATTGGTTGCAATGGGAGAAAACAACAACAACCCAGTACTTCAAAATAAATAAATAAATAAATAAATAAAGATCAGTACAGAAACTCAAAGCCATATGGGAGATCTGCTTTATCCTATGGTCCCTTGATGCCCTCCCAGGGTGTGTAAGATTGCTCCCTAAGACTGCTTGCCTGGGAGTAAGACCAATTCAACTCAGTGGAATTTACTTCTCATGTCTAAACTTGCACAGTACACTGTGTTGTATATTGAACTTTTAGATTTAGTCCAATACTAGATCAAGTTGCTTCAATTACCTAACACTGAATGCATGGGCAGTTGCAAATTTCATATGCTACCAAGCTATGGAAGCCGTGAGTTAAATATTATT